TATGGTCCCAATAGAACAAAAGCGAACAACTGGAAAGCCTATTCGGATGAAAAGAAATGTCTACCTTCTGAGCAATCTGTCTTGTAGGGTGAAACATTCCAAAGTAATTTCTGTTTACTTGTTTCTACAATACACGCAGTTTTGAAACTGACCGAACGTTTTACTAGAAGAACTCGAAAGAATGAATGAAAGGAAGAAAGAAAAAAAAAGAAAAAGTGAATAATTAATTAATTGATCAATTAATCAATCAATCAATGGAAAGGAAATATAGATAAGAACTTAAGCATAGTCGTAATTGAAAAGTGTAGTTAGCTAACGAGGAGGAGTCGCTCCCCGTCTAACACAAAAGGCTCTTCATAGATGAAAACTGGCGGCTATTGTTATTCAGGAGAGCGAAGGAGGGTCATTGTTGTTAGCGTCTCTTGCCTGCTGGCTTTCTTAACAACTACTTTTCTACTCCAAAGTGAAGTTATGTTTGACTCCTAACTTATAAGTAAGTTATAAGCAAACACATCATATCACGCCTTGACAACAGCCCGTGTTTCAGAAATGATTTTGTGATCTTTATCGAGCCTTTTTTGACATTTTTAACTGGTCCCATATAGATGTGGAGATGCACTGACCTATTGAGAAACTTCCAGGTAATCGCAGTAAATAGATCTACGAACATGGTAATACAAACAAGGTTTGAACCTCATCCAGAAGGAATTCGAAGCTTGATCAAAGATCCATATATTGATTGAGAATGTTTTTCGGAGAAATCGATGAAAAGCAGTGATCAGCGTAAAAAGACGGTTGAGTAGTGGCAGCCGGGCTGAGTACAAGAACAGATGTTTTCGTCGTTGTTAACAAATGCTGATTAATGACAGTCGAAAATGATCACAAAATGATCACATGTGGTAAATCATGTCGGAATGTGAAGCTTATTCAGTCGGTCAGTGTGACCCTCTTCACAGGCTGACCCGCACAATAACTCACAGTTTGATAAAGAGGAATAGAAAGCAAATTTAGGCATGTTTTATTGCACTTTTGTACTTTTTCATCGAGTTGCTCGAGATTGATACTCGCCCAGGCCAATCAGGCCTTCCATTCCTCCGTGGTGGGTTCATCGGACTCTTGTGGGAGAGCAGAAGCGCTGACTGATTCAAACTGATCTTTTTTCAGCTGGCCAATTCATTGTATTGGTCATGTTCGCATTGAAAACGTATGATTCTTGTAGGATGCCGGGCGCATCCCAACAATGGGATTCATTAACACAAAGATGTTTTGTAAGAAGGCGAGGGCAAGCGGGGTTTCGGTAGTGTAAGGGATAAGAGCACGGACCACGGAAAGGACAAGTGCGGATTCGAGTCCCGTCCTAGACTGAAATTTTGTCTATAAATCGCCATCCCTGTGGACAAAGATTTCATTCTTACCCTTTTTCGTTCTTAATATATAAATCCATGAGCAAGTTTCTTCATACATTCTCCCTATTTTCCGCCTTGAATGTAAATGGCCCATAAAAAAGATAATATCAAAAAAAAAACAAAAAAAAAATGCTACACAATTCTTGAGTTGAGAACGTTCTCAGTCTCCACTTCCTCTTTATAAATTTGTCAAATCTACAAGAAAAAATAACTTCAGGTCAAAACAATTCATTCATTGCTCGAAATATTTGTTGTTGTTATATTAGTACAAAACAAAGCAACTACTGCTCGGTGAGCTTTGTTTGCGGATTATCCAGGCACTTAAAATGTTGCGCATAAAATAAGTTGTCATCGAACTCTCAATTCCGAAAGTCCTTAGGAGTATGAGGAGGGAGGATTTTTCAATTTTTGCTTTGCACAAGAATAAACTGCTGAAAAGAGTGAGAAAGCTCTGATGGAAGCAACTGTAATGTTTCAATAGGAGTTACAGACGAAATGGTTCCATATCGACACAAACAAGAAGGTAAAAACATGATGACAAGACTTATTGAAATGTGAATGTGAAATGAAGCGGCCTCGCTTTTCTCTCTTCTGAAGCAATAGAGAAAAATCAGAGCCTGCACCTGATTTGGAAAGTGCCTGCCACTACTTCGGTCATCGTGTCATCGTCTTCGTTAGTCATCAGTAAGTCAACCATTCTTAGTTACTTTCTATGAGCTGTACAAGTGGTAGACTTAGGCAAGATAAAGAACTCTGAGAGCGAACGGAGGTGCATCAAAAAACACCAGGAGGTGGGGCTTACAGACGATCAAAGAATGCCCTGCGAGGAAAAAAAGTCGATCAGAGTGATCTGGGAGGCGGAGAGCGTTTGCTTTCTTAGAACCGAGTTAAAGCTGAGAATGACCAGTAGGCACAACTGATTTCACCACCATAGAAAGAATTTCTCTTCATTTTCCTCATGTCCCAGCGGCCAACATTGAATATATGGAATGTACAGCGTGATTCCTTACACTGTACTATGTTTTTTTTACTGTATCAAACCTTCACCGAGGCTGAGGCCAAGTCTCAAAAGTTCACAGCAACTCCGGCTGGCCTATCGGTTGTAACTGAGTGAACATGAAGAACTGTGACGAGTTCCGATTGATTTCGACAGAAGGCAAATGGAAACTTACAGAGAAAGAAGCTGTTCTGGGAGAAAAGCAGAACACTTCCGGTAAAATTCTACTTTTGAGCATACTGTTGTGTAAAAGTGACGATACCGTTCAAGGAGGATAAAGCTAATCGGCAAAGTTCCACTCATGTTAAACACAAATGATAAATTCAGCGGTGAGTAATAAGAATGAGTTCCAGTCAGACAAAGTTTGACCACCACAAGCGGTCGGACTGCCAAAAAATGAGCAAAAACGGAGAGGTAGTAAGCAACAAGATCGCAAAAATAGTGGTTAATTGGGGCAGTCAGAGTGCTCAGTAGCCGCAGCCGTCGGCGCCACCGGCACCATCAGCGACGCCTGGCCGGTCGGTTGGTTAGCTGTGTAACGACGGAGGTGCCACAGCTACAGAGATTAATTGCGACAAACAAATCGCTGGAGACTTTGCCGGAAACTCGAATTTTTTTGTGAATGGCATTTCCGGTAAAAGTAACCGACACAGTGATTATCGCGCAGGTAAAGATATTATTATCAGATATTACTACTTAATATTCGTTTCCCAGTTCTCTAAGGATGGAGAGCTGGTTTTGCCATGCTGTGGACCGAGTAATGACCAATGACGGTCAAAGAAACAGAAAATGTGATTTTTCAAGAAATGTTTTTCTCAAATGGTACCGAGTGATCCATAAATTATGCTTGGCGATTTCTTTCATTCGTTTGTTTACGGCTCTCCCTAAGTACAAGCTGAAAGAAATTTTTGAGCTGAGAAAAACTCAAAAAAAAAGTTTAGAAGATGAATAAACTCAAATAGGATGACAACTTCAAGATCGGTAGAGGCTCCGGAAGGTTTTGAAGAGCGAATCGTAGAATTCTGAAATAAGCGTTATGGTATTTCTGTACGATATTTATTTGTACGGCTTCGTTTTTTTTTCTTGGAGTTCCGCCAAAAGAAGTCTCCTGATTATAGCATGCTAGAATCAGCACGATAGCACGAAGATCATCAAATCAGCTTTTTCTCTATGGCCTAGGATGTGATCTGTAGATTTCATACGATAAATGAAGAAGAAATCAAATTCAAGATCAGCCAACCTAATGCTAATGTAACCGATGTAACACACGTATTCGCAAAAGAGGTCCTTGGATTTCATTTTTCTCAGAAACGAGAGGCGAATGATGGGAACCGATGTAGCGAATGTACTTGTAAGCGAGGTCCATGAATTCCATCTCTCTCAGGAACAAAAAAGGAATGAGTGGAAACGGTAGATAGGCTTTTCATTGTACGTTTCATGTTATTTGTGTTCTATTCATGACTGTTGACTTGTCTTGCTGAGTAGTTAATAGAGATGTATAGTAAATCTGCAGCTGAGTATATTTCTTTTCTCAGTCAGTTCATGATCTTTGAAAGGTAGCAAAGAAATGAGGTTTGGCTCACGGATGTACCACTCTGGCTTCCACATCATCTAATTCTGCTTACGGAGATTAACTTAGAATTCGACAAATTTCGCTGCCTTTTTTCTAGTTGTTCCAGAGTTTTTACGAATCCCTCGAATAGTTTTGTTTCAGAGGTAAATGGGATGGTCATGAGGAAATTCTTGAAAGAAAATAAAATATCACACTCATGTTCTCAGCATAAAGGTTATCTAATAAAAATCAAATTAATAATAACTGCAATAATTCAACAATCAAGTTAGAATCTCCTTCTTGGCAATTTTCTTTACCTCGAAGTCGCAATTTACGATAATTTTGTGGTATCTACTTCTAGACGAATAATGGATGTGATAGTACAGAACAAAAAAAAATGGCGATCAAGTTGCAAAAATCAATGGATTTAGTGAAGATGAGGTCTCACAGAAGTGGTAAAATCAGGGGATGGACGACAGTGCGACGACAAAAAGTGGAAGGGCTATTCGGACGAGCTGTCTAAATGTGTATACCATTACCTAAAACAGATTGCAGTAAGCTGTGAGCGGATTGGTGCAACCTTGCAGCCTCTACAACTCGTCCTGGGAGGGTACGTCCACTAAGCTTGTTTGGTCTTTACGACCTATTTAGGCCGTTTTTCGATCCAACAGCATCCTTCGTGCTATCCGTAAGAGTGATAGAACCATACTAGGGAGCAATCTCACAAACCATAATCTTATCGTGAAGTGTACCTTCGAAAGTTACGAAAGAGGCGAAGTCTTTAGGTTTTGTTGTTGTTTTTGATGATGACTAAGAAAAAAATTGCAGCGAAACATAAATCTGTCCATATTGGCCTTCCGATCTGGCAGCATGAAAATGGGCTAGAGATCTTAGAAATGTGGACCACGTTCGCTAGACACCTATATATAGGGTCCACTGAGACAGAAAATGAGTTTTACTACTTTTTTTATTACCACCGAAAGCGATAAGAATCGCTGGGTCGACCCGCTCGGAGATCTTCACACTCTCACTCTTGGCCGTTGCAATGCGATGCCTTTTGCTACTTGGACTGCTGGCAGTCGTCGTCGATTCTGAGACTACTTGCCCAGAAGGCGATGATGCCAACAGCCATGACCACTGCGTTCACATGGAGACCACAGCGATGTTAGTAAGTTTTGAGCAAATGTAAATTTTGAGGGTAATATCGATTACTGGCAATCTAGGAAAACTTGGTATTCATATAGTGTAGATACGATCGCACAGGTGCACCAGTATTGGACGTTTTCAAAATTCATTTCCTTCTAGACAAATTTACTTTCACTATCTAAAAAGTAGGTCTTAACTCCAGTTTGGCCATTGTTTCATATTTTGCTTCGGTGTGAATAGGCTATTGGAAAAGGGGTGCAATCTGAACCTGTCTGGAAGGGTTCTGATGTTCGAAGCTCCATATGATACTCCTCACCTTTCGGTTTTGGTAACCTTTTGGTTTCCTTTCGAACTTCTGCTTCAAAGTTTCTCATAAAAAGCATACAAACTTTGCTGCGTGTGCACTTCTCTAATGAAGCAGTGCCCGCATAAGGGAGGATCTACTGGACGCTGTGATTCGTTCACCCTACAGTATCTGATTTTGACTTGCAGAAAATCTAGAATAGTTCATTGCCTATGTACAGGATGCAGAAATGCGAGTGTTAAGGTATCACAGCAAATTTAATTAGTTCCGATGTACAACTACGATTAACTTCTAGGAGTTGGTCGGATGCAGAGGTGTACTGTTCTACACGAGGGGGCCATCTCACATCCGTTCACAATCAGTTCGACAACACGGCAATCAGATGTGAGTAACATATTCTAAGCGCCTATAGAGGTACAGAAGTTTAGTGGTCAATTGCCCTGGTTTGGGGGAAAACTCACTTCTCCAGAGGTCACTCTTTATAGAAAGTTGTTGCTTTAACCGTTTAGGAACCTTACAAGTTTCGTTTAGCTCTTGGTGAGTCTACCGGTTGCAAATCCTACTGGATAGGAGGACGGTGCTCATCCGGTAATTGTTCATGGGTGGATGGCACATCGTTTGACTTCAAAAACTGGGGCCCGGGTATGTTTATTTGTTGTTTCTGAAATCTCTATTGCTCAAAGTTCCTTTTGAAGTACGCTACTCATTCAGGACAACCAGATTCATCCTACCAATGCATATCTTCGTCGTTTATGAGTGGTACGGATCGGTTTTATCCTAGCACAGTTACCACCAACGTCAGTATCTGAGAGTTAATACGTTTAATAGAGTGACAATTGCAGGCACTTGGAGCTCGATGGACTGCAATCAGAAGCAATGCTTCGCCTGTGAAACGAGTCTGGCAATGAGCGACTGCGCTGACTGGTTCAAGGCCGGCTACAGAGAGTAAGATCGAGGGAGGGGAATGAGAAGCTCATTCTATTTGCATCTTTTCCAGTGATGGAGAGTATAGCATCGTTCTTGATGGTGTGCCTTACAAAGTCTACTGCGATATGAACACTGCCGGTGGAGGATGGGTAGTGTTTCAAAGGTTTGAGCGAACTAATAACTTATCATAAATTAGCTGGGCCCCCTTCGCTGTTCTTCTCTTTCCTTCGACAATACCCACTGAAGAGCTGCTAGGGTTACCATTATAGAAGAGTTAACGGCAATGATTCATTCTGGGACCACAGCTGGACTGAGTACAGAAATGGGTTTGGAGCAGTTGGACCAGTGAGTTTATTGATTATATTGACAATTAAGCCTTTTTGATCGATCCCACTGCTATGCAGGACTCCAATTTTTGGTTGGGGAACGAGATTCTACATCAGCTCACTGCGAAGGACACCGATGTGACGCTGAGAGTAGAGATGAGAGGAGACAGGACGCCTTCCGCACCCGATCCTGACGCATTCTGGTGGAACCACTACACTAGCTTCCAGGTTGCAGTTGTTATTTCATAAGAGAACATAGTTTTCAAAAATTTATTCATTTTTCCATAAAACAAAACGCAGTTCGAATACCCTAATAGGGGTGGAAGGGGCTGGGGTGTATGTCGTGTCAAGTAACGCCAGTGACCTCAGGGGATCAAGTTCTTGGTTACTATATCACTTGGACAGTCACAGAACCCAGGGAAAGTAGTGGTATCATAGGTGATAGGGACATGAAGTGAGTTCGATGATAGTCTGGAAAAAGAAATATAGATGCCTAGTTGTCAGGGGAAAACAGTAGGGGAATTGGAATCTTTGCATTGCATGTGATTCACGAATCACGCCCACTTTACAACAGGATGGATAAGGTTGTATAGAGCAGGGTCTTATAGCAGAAAGGACAAATTGCGCTGCGCCGTTCTAGAGAGCGTTTCTTCTAGTTCACTGAATCAATTTCATTCTGTGGAAATCACATTCACTTATTTTTTTGCGTAGGATTGAGCTCTGAAAACTCTGGTCACAACCCAACCTTGCATCACACATCACATCTGATCATGGAATGCTCTGGGATTTTTGCAGGTTGGGCCAGAAAATGATAACTATCCGCTCAATAATCTCTACTTAGATTATGATAACATTCAAGGCAACGCATCTACTGCATGGTGAGTGAGTAGTATACTTGGTGACTAGCTCATCCTCTAGTTTGTGAGCTGCCAAAAGAAGATATTATAGGTTCCAGGTACGACATAACTTACTCGGTTGGCGCTCCATTTTCAACCATCGACAAGATCAATGATCCAAGACCCAACTGCGTGACGAAGTATAAAATGGGGTTCGTTGATAAAGTTCTCTTGAAATAAGCATGAACCTGCTCAAAAGTGATCGATGGAATACTAAACATTTGTACATTCCAAGTTTGCATCAACAACAACAACAACTAGTTCAGAGGTTGGTGGCTTCGCAACTGTGCTTTGGCGACATTGAATGGAGCATATGACATAACTGACTACTCTGATGGATACGGTAGGTATTCTTACAGATACAACAAAGAGAATTCTGACAGATGCCTATAGTTACATCCGTGCTAAAACCAACTCAATTATAGGTATGTTTTGGATAATCGATGGTATGGACTACATCATTCATCCCTTCAAGACCGCAATGATGCTCAGGCCAACTCAAAAATAAACTAAGCACATTTCCATAAAATGGCTTTAATATCATCGAAGACATGAATGTAAATAGAGGAGAAGTGATATAATAATAAAAAGGACAGTGGAAGCAGACCCTCAGAAAACAGGCGCTAAATAAGGACGACTAGTTGCCTGACAGAATTCAGACCCACAGACAAAGTGTCCTGACATTATTCCCATAGTCAGTGTTGTAGGGTGTAGCCATCTTCTATACTCTACCGGCTAGGTGAAAACTGGAAAAAGGGGTAATGAGCATAAGACTGAATATGGAAACAAGGTGAATTTTCATCATGGTGCGACCTAACGGTCCCTGAGTGGAACTCGTTGTGAGGTATCGGAAGGGATACACTGTAGCCTTCAGTTTCACCCGGTAAGGAAATAAAAGAGGACGAAACTGATATGCTGATATGAATATATGCTGCTCACTGGTATTTAGAGTTCTACAGCGAAAGTAACTCAGCGTGCTTTTGAAAATCATCAAATATAGTGAATGGAAGCTGGAAGCTTCCAGTAAGCGAACTTATTTGGTGACCCCAGAAATTTTTTTGAAAGAAACCAGTGCAACTCTTGTGTTTTCAAAGATCGAACAAGGTGTATTTCATATCCATAGGTAGACAGAAAGTGTGATTACAAAATATTCGCATTCCTGCTGTAGTTCTGGTACCACCACTGGCAATAGTGTGAGTCTTACAGAACCGTATGTAAAACGTAAATCGGAAGTTAAAACAGATTGAACTCAAACTTACGAGTTCCTGAGACTATCATTATCCATATGTTCATAATTATCAATTCTTCTCTGAAACATGGTTATATTAAAAAGGGTTCCAGCTGATTTCTGGCTTGTAGTTGCCTGACACGAAGGAGAGGAAACGCTGGAAATTATGCTTATACATTCACGACACAAATATTAAGAAGGAGCGAAACATTACGATCATACATCAGTAATTTCAGTGAAACACACCTGGGTTTGTAATATGTATCATCGGTGAAGAGTACGTTTTGCCAGTGTTTCAATAAAAATTTTTCTCCCTCTGGAGGGGAAGAGGCTTGAATTCGAATTAAGCTCTGAGGAACTCCTTGAATTTGTCCTTTGAATTTTGTTTGTCCAAGTTGGCGGAGTCCACCCAAAGTTAATCATTCGTTAGTAGCATGGTATGGGCTGCAGATAACTTCCTGATCCATGCTATTTCATACATCACACAAATGAAGGAAAAAAAGAAATCCTCTCAATTATTAGCATCGCTGTAATCGTCACTGCAAATAATGTAAACATAGTGGGCTATTTAATTGCACAGGACTTGCTATTAACTGAACTGCACTCGTTCCCTTCTGATTTGAATTATCTGTAAACTGCTGTTGCTTCCAAGAAATGCATTTCATTTGAGAATAGATCACCGGTCATCAAAAACATTTTTTCGACGAAAAGAACATTGCTACTCATCTATACTTCTATTAGGAATCGATGGGTCACCATCCCATCTCTTCACCTTGTCGCATCTCCGTCACCATGCGATCGCTTCTGGAAGTGTTCTTTGGCTACCTGACGATTACCGCCGTTTTCTGCACTACTTGTGTTCAACTGAACAGCCGCAATCACTGTGTTCACAAGGGCCCTGATAAGAGGTCAGTTGGGAGACGGGCGTTATTAACGATTATGGGTAATCGATTCGCCGCACGCGGCTGTCGCGGATCACTCATTCGCCGTTATTACAGCTCTAGCGTTCTCCATACAGCTCAATCGAAATGCGATCACTATTTTATGCATAATTCTACTATTAGTACTTTTGTTCTTGCATTTCTTANCTACTGCTGCATCCTGCTACATTCCTTCGCGCGCGACGCCCCTCTCACCGCGACGCGGCCATTTCGTTCCTAACGCTCCACACCCAGGTCAGTTTGACCTGCGCTTATTTGAAATTGGTTGAAGGAAGTGTCGATCGCCCTCTGACATTCGAAAACTAGAGTGCTATAGGAAATGGATTTCATTGTTCAGTTTGCCTACATTTTACAACAACTTTTCGCAAATTATTACCATCGTTCATTTTCTTTTACAACGCATACAAGCAGAGCGCAAGTTTATCAGTATGAGCGTAAAGTAGAGAACTACAAGTTTTGTGTACATATTTGTGAACCTTCAATGTGGATCAAAACAAGCTTTTCATCTGGCTTACAGATGAATAATTCTTCATGGAAATGGTTTGTCTTCAGAAGCTGGGAGCAGGCAGAGGCCTACTGTGAATCAAGAAATGGTCACCTTACATCCATTCACAACAAGAATGATATCGCTGTGATAAAAAGTAAGTGCAAAGTAATGTTTTGAAAACCAGCACGTTGCTATCGTATCGCTTGGACTTGTTATGAGAAGATTGGAGATGAAGAGTTTTATGCTACTTCCCACCTGAGCACTTCATCTTCCATAGTGAGCACTTAATTCCCATTCTATTCGAAGTAGTGTTAGCTTTTCTACTTACAATTACTTGATAGACCTCACAGGCAAAAGCTTGTTGGAGTCGATCGGTGTGCATGTTGTGCAATTTTGCAGTGCATTGTTTACGGATCTCTATGTGAACTAGAAACCATTAATTTCTTGAGAACTTAAGGCCAGCCTCAACATTCATGATGACCAAGCATCGCGAAAACACATTCTTCTTTTCCTCAGTCCATTAACGGAATAGGAAAAAACTATGTTAAAGGCACAGTTCACGTCAATTTTGGGGTATCCGGTTTTTTGGCGAAATTTGACAAAAAATGTTAGATACGGCTTACAATAGTACAATGGTTAGAGAGAAAACGCGAAAACAGATGAATATATAGAAATAGAGAGCCACAAAAAACAAGAGAAAAGGGGGTTGGACGGGCTAAATGGCGAAAAAACGGCGATAAGGGATTTTTCGGGCGAGTCAGACAAACGCGATGCAGTGTCTGCCATTGCACACAACACACCAACAGTTGATTTTGGCTTATTCATTAAAACTAATTCTCCTACCGCTATTAATCTGATTTATTATGCAAAATCAATTTCGACCTTTAACCAAGGCTGAGAAAAATTAATTAGTATAGAAGAGCGTGGAATATAGTCGAATACTGGAAAAACAGCCTAATTGTAGTCCCAATACGAGGCGGTCGACCAGCTGACCGTCTGTGGGCAATTGGCCAACCAGCCTATGGATTTTTCACTAATGTTGCTCCAATGCGAAAGTGGTGAAGGACAATTTGAACACGTAGTCAACCTAGCGAGGGGCGGAGGCCTATCGTCCCCCACTGTTCCTGCCCTTATTGTGCCTATCCAGACTGTTTTCCGACCTAATTCCTGCACAAATGGTATCAGAGGGGGCTTCGAATTCAAACCATGTGCAAATCTCCGAAACCACTTTTTCCTGAACTGTGCCTTTAACAAGCTCGATTAAGGAAGTCGATTGTGACAAGTAGAAGACTCCTCAGACATTGAGGCACTCGGAGTCATCTTCTGATGAGAATGTGAAATTACATACTGCTATTGTGGAACGAGTAGTTCAATATGTTTTTTTAAGCACTTGGAGATCATGACGAATGCAAATTTTACTGGACTGGTGGGCAGTGTAGATACGATACTTGTTCATGGAAAGATGGCTCAGCGTTCAACTTTAGAAAAATTAGACGAAGTTAGACTTCTTGCCTCTTCCATCTTTGCCTTCTGTTTGTTTTCATAGTAAAGTCACACTTCGTTAAGGTCATGCAAAGTCCGCTTATCAATGCATAGAATCGCCATTCGAGAAAGGTAAGAACTTTATTTTGGATCCATTTCTCGAAACTTCTTGAAAATTTTGAAATTCACTGATCTTTGCAGTTTTCGAGTAGAAAGCCTGTTTAATCAGAAGTACGTATTATAGGTAGTTGGCGCCCATCAGACTGCATTAAGAAAAACTGCTTCGTCTGCGAGACGAGTGATATAATGAGTGATTGTGCTGACTGGTACAAAGCTGGCTATAAAGAGTATGCAGAATGGAAGATTAGATACAGTAACCCTTTTTTATGGTCGTTTGAAGGGTCTAATTCTTCTAGTGATGGTATATACAGCATCTTTATCAATGGTACCACTTTCAAAGTCTTCTGCGACATGCATACAGCAGGAGGCGGATGGGTAGTATTTCAAAGGTTCGGATGAACAGCACATCTTTGAACAAGAGAGCTGTGTTAGGTGTTGAATTACAAAATATTTATGAGTCAGAATTAGTAGTTAGGCTTACAGTACCGCAAAAGTCTTTAAAATGTAACGGTTCAAACTATAGACTTCAACTCTTACATGAACTCGTTTTTTTTNTTTTTTTTCTTCCTTATTTCAATCGCTATAGTTGCATATAACCTCGAAAGCTGGAACAAAACACAACAGAAAGGGAAAACTTCATTGAAATCATTTTAATGGTGAAATCCTTTTTAACCTGCTTCTTCAGTGAAACCTCGATCATAGCCCGATTTTTCAGAAGAGTAAACGACAGTGACCCGTTTTGGAATCATACCTGGTCCGAGTACAGAAATGGATTTGGGAACATTGGATCGGTGAGTCGAAATCAACCACAAAGTTACCGATCCCTTTCTTATAGACTATCAATTTCATTTAGAACTCCACCTTCTGGTTGGGTAACGAAGCTCTCCATCAGCTCACTTACAAAGACCCCAATGTGACTCTGAGAGTGGAGATGAGAGGCGACAGGACGCCGCGAGCGAAAAATCCGAATGGATTCTGGTGGAATCACTACTTCAGTTTTAGGGTTCGAACTTTTCTTTCTAGATTCTCATTGCTAATGTTACCAAAATTTCAACCCAGTCGAAACAACTTGCCATGTCAGGTTGCTGACCGATATCCTTTGAATAAGGTGAGTATTGTAATGACTATGGATGGACAAGGAAGTAGTTCTGGAGAACTGAGGCCAAAGAGAGCTTGAAAAGGTGATAAAATAAAAAGAAGTGGCGCCTCTAATTCATCATTTGGAAGTAACGCAGGCTCGGATGTTCCATTTTTGTAAATCCTTTGCTGTTTCTAAGCAACCGTTACGGTATTACGGACGTTAAAAGTCAAAATAAAACAGGAAAGGAGATAAAGAGAGTTGTAAGATTCCCCACTCACCAAAGAGTCAAACAAAAGTCATCAAAAACTTTACTCGCCGGTTGCAAACTGTTTTTTAAGCCGTTGAATTCGATCCATAGATGGATTAAAAACAACGCGCGCATACGAGAGTTTGTGACTAGATAAGAAGTGAGGACCTAGGCAGAAGCTGTTCTTAGGAGCAAAGCTCACTGATTCTACAGCTTTGCTCTAGCAAAGATTTCCGAGGTTCAATCTGTTTTCCTATTCTGACCTCTCGCATCCTTTTTGAGGTTCAGGAAAACAAATGTATATAATCGACTGATTTAATGACTTGTCTTGTCATAGGTTGGATCTGAAGAAACCGACTATACACTCGAAAGACTATCCATCGAAAAGCGCAACATTAAGGGTAACGCGTCCATTGGACGGTAAGTATAAAAGCAACTTATTACGATGGAGATTAGCAAGGAGAAAACGCGAGTTTTCAGATACGACATGTCCTACTCAATTGGTGCTAAATTCTCAACCGTCGACAGGATTAACGATCCCTTACCCGAATGCATAACGCGGCACAAAATGGGGTTTGCAGAATTGCATTTCGTAACACTTGAAGGCCTCCTCCAGCTGGAATCTCAAATGTTTTTCAAAACTATCACTAGCAGCCTTACTGTAGATACAGCTGTGTGTTTCAGGGGCTGGTGGTTACGTAATTGCGCAATGGGAACGCTGAATGGAGCGTATAAGGTTTCCGATTATTCTGGTAAGCTATGCTTCAAACATCATTTTGATTCCATCGGTCTATTGAGCATCGGAACAACAGGGTGCATTTCCACATTGTGCTGCATTTTTGTTATCCTCTGACTTGAAATTCAGCATTCAGATACTTTTTGCAATGATATGTCACGAACGGATTTCGCATGCAGAAGCCAAGTCATCTGAAAGCTTAGGGTTAATCAAATGCTTGCTTCACTACTCAATGTTACAGGCTTGTTTTGGATGTTCAATGGCACGCTCAACGCCATTCGACCGAGTAAAACTATCATGATGCTCAAGCCGAGTCGAAACACAAGTCTTCATACCTCCACGTAATGTCTTCTAACTGTACTACGACATAGATTTCAATAAAAGTGATGTAAAGCCGTGGTGCACATAAAACGAAGGAAATTCGGCCGATGCTGTAAGTATAGAAATAGTCGAAGCTTTTCTTGCACCCACCTCCTCGTTGGGTTTGATTAATATTATAAATGAACTACAAGCCAACGTGCGCATCTTATCGGGAACAGTAGCATGGAGATGGATTTTTTTACACACAATAGAAATAGATTGACTCTTCGCGTTCGAGGAGGATGGTTCAACGATTTCATTGTAGGGGGTCGATTCGGGTCATAAGACTCAAATTCATCAGGAACAAAACTTATAGCTAAGCTCCATTCCTGACAAGCCGTCGGAACCGAAGTGCTGACGATCCGCATTCCGCATTTACCGAAGCATCGTTTCTAGGAAGACTTACAAAGGAATCGAAATTTGCTTCGTGTTCAGAATAAAATTACTACCTGAACCTTACACTGTCAAATGCATCTAAAACCATACAAAAAATCTACAAATACCACATAGAAAATTGTATTATTCGTAGAAGCACAGCAATAAATAAATATTCACGGTTTTTCATTGATAATTCTTCTTTGTCGATGACTTTTCTTCAGAACGCTGGCTGTTCGACTGTTCTATTTCCTGTTCTCCATTGTACGGCTGGA